TTATACATTATACCACCTGTACATTCAATCTTGCAACACCTGGGATTCACAAGCGGTCACCCATCTAAGTATTGGCCAGGCATGTTATTGCTTAATTTTGTTAATCGTACGAGAACCAATGTTTCAACGTGATATCGCCATTATGCATTACACGGCACGCACATTCAAGTTTACAACACCTGGTATTCCCAAGCGGTCACCCATCTAAGTACTGACCAGGCTTGATATTGCTTAACTTCAGTGATTGTACGAGAACCAGTGTTTCAACGTGATATCGTCATTATCCATTAAACCGCTCGCACATTCAAGCTTAAAACACGTGATATTACCAAATGGTCACCCAGCTAAGTAATGACCGAGCTCGACGTTGCTTCAGTGATCGTACGAGATGTGCTTCCTCTTCCAGGAGGTCAAGTATGCTATTGACGTATATTGACGGCAAGTTCATAGTGTCCACATCAGCATTCCTATTATTCTCATAGTCATCAGTCCCATGGCTGGGTGTTGTCATAGCGTCACTGACCGGTAATCTCCACATATCTGGGATGAAAGCCTTAGAGGTATTCGTTTATGGCGAGCGAGTCTCGGGCAAGTGGACCAGGCGTATCCCATCATTTTCTGGGTCAAAGCACGGCCAATGTCGTTCAGCATGACGACTTTTCCTCGTCACGAATACGTGGCTGTGGGAACCCTTTACTATGGACGTTTTCTTTAATCACGGAAGCCGTCCGCCGAGCTATGGAGTCCATTGTGAAAGATGGCCATTGACCCTAGAAAAAGGTTCATCTGGTCTTTGAAACGTCTTGCGTTTAATCCTGTTCGATGCTTAGCCAAAAACAAAAAACCCTGGTTGATGACCCGACGATCGTTACAGTTTTAATCAATTAATCCCAAGCAAGGCAGTAGCTACTGAGTGTGAGAATATGAGAAAAAAGACCACTATTAAAGGAGAGAGAACAATAAATGAACAGGAATTAAGAAGACAGAAAATAACAATTGACATTGCATTTAAATTTTTGAAGATCAAAGCTGACTGGCAAGCAAGAAGCTTGTTGAGAGTTACATAAGCCAAAAGTGGGGGAAGGCTGGTCTTCATCAGTCTTATAATTAAACTTAGCTAGCCACAATTACTGATCCAAACATACCACAATATTCCTTACACCAAAACGACACATTCTTACTTACCATTCTTTCTACAGTCACCATAATACCTCTAAGTCTCTATGAAGTTCTAACTAGTTCCTAACTAAATCTTGTTGGAACTCATTGAGGTTGATATGCCGTAAAACAAACCAAACCAAACCTTAGAGACAGAATCTATACTATAAAAGAGCTGATTCGCTGTCTCTCAGATTTCTCTCGTGTCCGGTTCACACACCTCCCCAATGTACAATATGGGAAAGTAATATTTATTTTGAATAATAAAAGGCCAACAGGAAGGATAGGAAAAATCTGGTCATCAGTCTGTCTTATCTTAAACTTTGCTAGCCATAATTACTGACTCAAAGATACCACAGTATTCCTTACAGCAAAACAACACATTCTTCCTTACCATTCTTACTACAGTCACCATAATACCTCAAGGTCTCTATGTAGCTCTAAACTAGTTCTTATATATACAATAAAGGAAAGTAATATTTATTTTGAGTCAAAATGTGGCACAAGGCTAAAAGTAGTGATGAGGAAGACTGGTCTTCAATCTGTCTTATCTTAAACTTAGCTAACCAAGATTACAAACCCAAACATTACACAATATTCCTTGCACCAAAGCAATACATATTTAATTATCATTCTTACTACACCCACCATAATACCTCAAGTCTTTATGAAGTCCTAACTAGTCTCCATATATACAATTTGTCACTGGTTGGGTAGGGAATAAAAATAACAAGATGAAAATGATAGATCATCAGAACAAGTATTTATAGAAAAGGTTCCGGATGTGGGAAGGAGGCTGGAACCGAGATGTAAGGTCAGGACCAATAACATTGCAGATTCTTCTTTGGATTTCTTCAAGAATCTCTAAAGACGCACCGGACTATATGTAGCAGCAATATCCAAAGCATGGACGAATCGTTGACTTATAAATATGTAACAGTTTCTGGCGAGAAAAATTATATCGCACGACACGATGAACCAAATTAACCAGTAGCAAATCTAGCAATTGATTCATTATAATCTTTCCATCTTATGTTAATGGAAAACAGCAACTCGAACAGACTTAATGAGTCACTCTCCTGGAGGTACCAGTAGCGCCCGTTGAGCGACCTGACCTTCGAGTTGCAATATCTGCTATTTTCCTTGTAAACGAAGCAAACATTTTAGTTATGGGAATCGTAACACTTCTTTTTCTTGTTTAATATCGAGTGACATCGGGCTGAATAGTATCATTCTCTTGTGAGTCTTTCTTATTCATGAATCCTGTTTCTCGTCAACATTGATTAAATTTGCTAATATATATTTATGATGTAAATAAAAATAAGACAGAAAATACATTTTTTTTTTCCTTTTTGCCTGCTTATTTTTGATTTTGATTTTTTCTAATTTCCCAAGTTCCGGGATGAATTTTCTTTTCTTAAGAATAACAAACATTAAATTAATCCTGAGGGGGGTTGCTTTAATATATCATTCGTTCACTTTCAAGGTTTCATTATTGGGCGTATTCTCTTGACAGATATGTATTAGTTTATCAGAAGAGCAATATGACATTGTTGGAGATAGACAGGCGTCCTGGGTATGACTATAAACTACATCCACGTCCTCGGTAAGATGATAAACTACGTCCAACAGCAATAAATCAGGTGGTTTTGAGGAGCGTGGAACGACCTTTTAATTGATGGCGTTCCCAGGTCCACCCTGACTCGAGGTGGTAGCACCTGTTAGGGTCCCAGCTATGGGTAAATAGTTAACTCCCAAACTCGGGTCAAAACACGATGTAAGTGTAAAAATAGGTTTTAATACCAGAAATAATTTGTAAAAAGTTATTACGAGTAATAAATTTTTGGAGAAAAATTATTACCAGCAATACATTATTATCTGCAATACATTTGGAAGAAAATAAATATTACCAGTAATACATTTTTGAAAAAAATATTACCAGCATAAAAATCTTGTTGGAACTCATTGAGGTTGATATGCCGTAAAACAAACCAAACCAAACCTTAGAGACAGAATCTATACTATAAAAGCGTTGATTCGCTGTCTCTCAGATTTCTCTCGTGTCCGGTTCACACTCCTCCCCAATCTTTTAAATAGGTTTAGAGATTTGTCACTTGTATTCTGTTTTGGATTGGGTTTCCGGTTCCTTCTAAAGTCTGACCTCTTGCTTCTTGGTGGCATTATTGCTTTGAGAGATCCCTCTTACTCTGTAATCCTCCACCTCGAGTGGCTCATGGGCCTTGTACAGGGTGAAAATCATTGTAAAAAAAATAGCGTATGCCTAATGTCATATCCGTAAGTCTGCGTTGTACGTGAGCGACTGATATGTCCTCATGCGATTTAATGTACACACAAGCACACGCACATACATACAGACAGTTTTTGATAATAATGTTCACCCTGTACAAGAGCCACTCAAGGTAGAGTGCCACAAAGTGAGAGGCACAATTCATGGGGATCTGTGGGGAAGATTAACCCCAGATTTTAACAGGTTATTGTAGTGATCGGGGAAGCATCCTCTTGGTCAATAAACAACGGCCCGCGGGCCGGATTCGATCCCCGATGGCAGTTTATCCGACCCGCCGCTTCACTGTGCTACAAGTGAGTTAAACTCTAATTATTTATATGGAATTATCAATAGATTGTAGGCAAAATTACTATGTAGAAAAAAATTAAATTAATTAAATGTTAGTAAAATGCCAAAATTTGACCAATCTGATTTTTGCATCTGACAGTAATATAAGATTTATGAAAATCAGTGAAATAAAAAATTCGGCAACTTTTGATACCTGCGCGCTTTTTTGTGTAACTATCTGCAATGAAGTTTCTAAGAAAAGGATTATGGGCCTGCTGCAGCAATTATGTTTTAACCTGCATTGCCATGTTTAAACCGGTTTGAAGAGTGCCGTATATATATATATATATATATATATATATATATATATATATATATATATATAAATATAGAAAACTAGACTCGTTTCGAAAAAACCCTCGAATTTTTGATTTGCTAATCAAAACAACCTTGAGGGAAAAAGTTTTAAAAAAGAAAGAGCTACAAACATGAACTTCTGCCGACAAAAAAATCGCACAGATGCAGGTCTGAAGCCCAAAGAAAAAACCCCGATACGAGTAACAACTAACTAACAAAAGAGCTCAATACAACCGTAGAGCAGACCTAGATAAACCTAGTGAGCCAGACAAACCTACCTAGGTTTCACCTAAACGGATCCTCAGGGAAACTTTCCCTGACGATCCGTTTAGGTGAAACCTAGGTAGGTTTGTCTTGCTCACTAGGTGTATCTATCTATATATATATATATATATATATATATATATATATATATAAGGACTAACTTTAGTGAATTATGTCATACATTTTGCCTGAACTTATTACAAAATCTAAAGTATGTAAAGTCAGTACATGAAACGAGGTCGACGGATGCACATTAAAAGGATTTTCACCTGGTTGGATGCAGCAATACCAAAACAAATATTAATTACTAATTATTATAATACTAATTAATTACATCCTAAAAAGCAAACACCAGTTTTACAAATCTCACGAAACATTTTGTGCTGCTTAGTTTGTGAAATTCGAATATGGGCGCACTTGGAGTGATATAACTATTTTATTGCTATTGTGGCCCTCTTGGATAACACACACACACACACACACACACACACACACATATATATATATATATATATATTAGAAACATAAACAATAACGTTAATATTTTTAACAAATTATTTCTCTAAGAAAAACACTGAAAATCTATTTGTAAGTAACAAAGTTTTAATTTTTCTCTGTAAAAATTCGTATATTATAAATAAATAAA